CGAAGCTTCTCTGAGCTCCTCCCTCATCGGGCATAAGCTGGAGCCTGTCCTGCACGTGCTGTGGAGCCTACAACATGCGCACGGGTCGGGCAGCAAGGGCCTGGGCCGGGGGAGGGCAGACATCACCGGCTCACCCCGGGGGGTGCCAGCCTGGTTCCCTGCACCTCCCGAGGGGCACACAACGTTCCAGCCCCTGGTGTTCACGCTGCAGTGCAGGGCTTGACAGAAGGTTTCAAGGGACAGGAGCCTTTCCTACCTTTGTCAGGGAAGATTCTGACTCTCTGTGTCCTACTTTCCCTTTGGCCAAATAAAAAAATTATGCAAAGTGGCAAAATTTCTTGAGATGTGATAAATGTGTGATCATGTTCTCTTCTGAAAATCTGATGAAATCTGTAAACCCTGTCCTGGAAAACTGTATGTATGCATATATACACATAACATACAATTTTGCCTAATATTGTAGGGATTTGTGCAACATCCCTTCTCATGTCTATCCAGTCAGTGAGGTAAAATAACTAATTTGGTATTTGACATATAGTCAAATAAATTAAGTAAAATTTATTTAAATTAAAAACCGACAAGTTTTGCATTGCAAAGTTTAAGTGCACTACCTCCTTCTGGTGAACTTTTGCTAACAGACACTTAAAGCAGATATCTTTACTGAAAGTTGCAAATTGAACTATTAATAGTTTAAAAATATTGAACCTCAAACAAAAGTAATAATGGTGATAATTCCCCATGTGCTTTACTCCATTTGATTGGCGGAAAGGCTACGTGAAACAGCAGGATGTACAGTTTCATTCCATAGCTGAGGATATAAAGGTTCTGAGAGCTCAAGTGACAGGCCCAAGATCACCCAGCTTGAAAGTGACAGGTCACCCAAAATATGAGATCGCTGATTGCTGGCCAGTGTTTCTTCTCTTTTCTGAAGTGGAATGATTTTCACAATACCTGATGTGTCTTCTGTAAACATTACTTGGTTAATCTTTACAAAGACCTTGGCTAAAGCTAAATCTTAACGAGTGTAAACAGAGACGATATTTCTGATTACCCGGCTCAGTGACTTTATTTTTTTTATTAATTGCTGACTTTCAGTGATGTCACCGCTGTTAATGTGTTTGGTCTTTGAAAATTCAGAATGATTCTGTCCTGTCTGGTAATGTCAGCATTGTTCTGCTAATGTTGAAACATCTGTGGCAAATAAATAGTAATTTTTCAGGGGATTGAGAGGTGTGGACTTGCTCTGAATACAGAAATACAGGTGATTTCCTTTAGGCCAAAGGAACCATTAACCATATAAAGTGACCAAGTGAGGGCATTTTCAGGGGTGGGCCATGAAATCCCATCCTTCTCTTCTAAAGTCACACTCCCTTTGCATGAGCCTCACCCGAGAGGCTACTTTACAGCCTGTTCCATTGTTTAGAAGCATAAGAGTAGCTGCATTTTGGATAAGAGGCAATGCTGTGGCCACTCTGCCTACCGGGCTTAGGCTGAATGTGTGTGCACCCAGATCTCAGTTGTCCAAGCCAGGACAGGAGATCAACTATGAACTGATCCTACAAATGTTTGATACTTTAAATCCTGATAAGGCTGAAAATGGAAAGCAGCCTGCTTGGGGGAGTTGGAGGACTTACATGCTTGGGGCCCCAAACCAATAAAATAAACAATTCTTGCGTTACTGCCAAATTCTATCCAGGATTGTAATCTTAATACATAGAAACATGAAAAGAAATAAACACAAATCATTGAGATATGCCTAGATTTTACTTATCTGCTTACCAACTACCCATCATCAGGGGCAAGGATAGTTGGATAAAGGTTATTAAAGGAATTGCTGCATTCTAGAAATCACTCTAGTGACTTTCAGTGATTTCATTTATCAAAAAGAGTTACTTTGCAAGATCTTGTGCAAGTTTATTTATCGCAGCCCTGTTTGTAGTAGTGAAAAACTGGAAACAACTCAACTGTTCATCAATAAGGGGCTCAGTAAACCAACTAAGGTGCTTTTGTATAATGGAAAACCTGGAAGCCATTAAGAAGAATATGCACACACATCCAAGGCATACTGTGAAATAAAAAAAGCTGCAAGTCAGTATCATAAGATAATGCATCACAAAAGAGATGATGCACTTATATCGTAAGATGATGTATTTGTTAAATTGGATAGAGAAAAACCTGCCCTAGCTATTTCTAAGGGTAATTTACAGAAGCATTTCTTTATAATTAGTATAATTATGTAATGCTTTAGTTTTTCACATTAGCATGTATTTGTCTTATAATTACAAAAATGTTCATTTAAAAAAACCAGGAGGGCTCGGAGACATGGATCTTGAATCAATAGCTGGGGAGGTCGGAAGCATGGATGGAACCCTTATTATGTGCCTTATGTTATTTCATCCTTACAATCACCTTGTGAGGTGAAATATTCTTATGTTCATAAATGGAAAGACTAGACTCAAAGGAATAAAGTGATTTTTCCCAAGCTCATTACATTTTATCCTGAACTATGAGAGCATGCTGAGGAATTTTATGCCTGTGAAAAGCAAGGAAGATTTGGAGATGGGGAAAAGGGAAGTCCAGGCACGGAAACCAGTTAGAGGCTACTGCACCAGTCTGAGGAGAGACAGGGGCCACCGAACTGTGGTGGTGAGAACAGAAGGGAAAGAGAGATTCTAGCGATATGGAGGAGACAGACTGAGCAGGAGTTGGTATTTGATTGGACACTCAGGGTTAGGGAGAGGGGGACGGGTTCAGGCTGACATCCGGATTATCGGTTTAGGAACTGGGGTGCTGGTATTGTTCACTGAGAGAAGAAAGAAGGGGAGAATAGCTGGTTGGGAACTGGCAGGAGGTGAGGAAGCCAGTGCTGCTTTGTGGCGAGATATGGCAGGCCAGGCAAGAGGACAGAGGAGGACATTGACATGTGGGTCAGGACGCCTTCTGAGTGTCCAAGGCACAGTGGGACCGGTGAAGCTGGAGGGCAAGCATATGCCCCGGAACACTTATGTCCAGGCTCTACTCTGGGCATCACAATTCAGTAGCAGTTGTCAGAGTGGGGAGCCAGGGAATCTGGTCCCTGACGCCCGGACACCTAGCCAGCCTCTTGCCGCAGCGCGGCAGCTGGGGGCCTTCTGCAATGGGCTGTGTCTCAAGGACCCCAGTATTTGGCTATGACCTTCAGCTACCTAATTTCCAACTTTATGATACAAACTCAATCATACACATGAAGCATCAGCTGTTATGATAGAATAAACAGAAATGCTTTAATTTTTTAAACTTTTAACTAAAGGTTTTATTTTATATTTTAATTCTAGAATTCACTTGGTGAAGGGTTGTTTTATATAGTATTTCATTCTTAGATATTGTTATTTTTAAATAAAGGACAAAGTCTAATAGAGTTAAAAAATTGAAGAACTAAAATGCAGCTATTTTCCTATATTTACATTGCTTGCTCATTGCCAGAAGAGCTTTCTTCTGTACTGAACATTTTAGAAAGTTTAAGCCATCCAGTGAAAGCAAAATATATTCTCTTACCTCCAATGTTCTGCATTGTAATGGAAATAAAAGCTCCAATTTTCCCAGGCCATCCAAATGCTTTTTCCCCTAATTTTTCATAAATTAAAGATCCTACAATCAAAGGAAAAATCACCTTGTTAAAAGGATTGTTTTCATGGCTAGAATATTCTATTAATATTGTGCACTGGAGTCTCAAACATGTAAAGAAACACCATAGAGAAATTATAAACCCAGAAGACACAATCTCAAAAGGCAATACAAAATATGCTAAAATATTCTCCAAACAAAAAGAAATGGCTTCATTCATCTTAGCTCTATACAGCAAGCCAGAACTGTTATTTCTATCATCCACCAAAATCTTTTTTGTCTTGATACTGAGCCAGCTGTGATTTCCACCCCTTTCACTTGACCAAATTACTAAAATCAGTGAGAGACCACGTCACTGGGTCAGAAGAAAATGCAGTGTGGAACTGACTGAAGTTATGGAGCTATCGGCTGAAATACCATTTAACAAGAAGAAGGCAGAATGTCTTGGCCTTCAGGGGTAACATACCTCCTTCCTTGGCAGTCTTTAATAAAAGGTGGACTGAATAAAGTGATAATATTGCCATAGCCAGAAGCATGATTCTGTGAAAGGAATAAAAGAGTAGAAAATAAGGTTTCTATAACAAGACATAATAATGTTAGATGTTACAATGAATGGTCATGTTGATCTTTTTATTCATTAAACTTTCCAAAAGAATGTGTATTTTTAAGAAGCTGAGAAATTCTTTTCAGAAATACATATCCCTTTTAATCTCATAGAACTGGTGTTTGCTATATTTTAGGTGCCAAAAAGTACTGCCCAAAGTTCCTAACATTTTTTTTGGTGTCACCCAGTAGCAGAATCTGATTTATAACCTAGGTGCTAAATGTATAGCAAATTTAGCAGATATATCTATTACATCAGCATGTGGGTATATGTACATCATATTTGCATGATACTGTCATTGTTTATACCTGAAGGGCTATTCAACAGCCTGCCTAGACTTCTAAAACCTAGAAATCCAGAAGGCAAAGCATGCAGGGTGTGAACTGTGTCCCCACTGATCCCGCACGTTAGATGACAAGATACTCTGTGAACCCAAGGGTCAGATAATTGCCTGTGTAATACAGAAAATGGAGAAAGATAAGTATAGGGCACAGAAAAAAATCCCCTTTTGTATTCAGAAAGAATCATTTCTGGCTCAGGACCTTCCACCTGTCCACAGGCATGTACAGTTTCTTTATCAGTGTTTCTCCAAAAACAAGAAGTGGAGAGCAAAAATAAGCATGTAGATGGAAAGCATGTATCTGTGATATACACATAAAGGGACGATACTAAACTTCACCTGAGGCTTAAAAGAAATCTTCTTTGCCTATTTTACATGATGAAAGCACCCTAAACATTCTCCCCACAATTGATCTAATTCTTTGGCAATTCCTGATGAAGTCAATGTTGCAAATGTATGTCTGAACCACCAGTTGTAAATTTTATAACTACTCGAACTATATTGTGCTCTTATTTTCCACAAAATGTTGGCCAAAGCTGTCTAGTCAATGACATTCATATAATTTTTCCATAAGCTTTATGAGTTTACCTGTTTGTATAGAATTACATAATTCAGATGATACAATTTTGTTCTCTGGAAAAATAATGAACATTCTTTGCATTCTAAATATACAATTGCTTTGGCAGAAAATACTAAAAGTAAAGACAATGAAATCCTGCGTCACTTGCTGTGAATTAAGGGAGATAGCTGGGTCCAGTTTGCACTGCTCAGAGACATGAAGCATGCTCCGTGGTATCTAGCAATTTAATTGCTCTGGAAAAATTAACCTGCTAAATGTTTAGGCTTGAAATGAAGCACTCAATTTTAAAGTGGATTTATATTCTCCTCCCATGCAAATATCTGTGGTTCTAGGACTGGGGAAGTGTTTATTTCTGTTCATCAGCAATTTATAACAACTTACTAATTAATTTTAATGGTTTGTGTTATTAATAAGGCAGTCTTCCTGTCTTGGAGATAGTGTACATTACAAAAGTACACTACTAAATATATGAAGACATTCTAGCCATTAAGAATCAGAAATAAAAACACCTAGCTTATTTTCAGACATGACTTACGAGAGCAACGTTAATATAAAAACATGTTCAGTTAAAAAGTCTACCTTAAACCGTTCAATCAAAGCATTAACACAACAAATATTTATAATCCTGCCTGATCCTTAACCCTCAAATAGCTATGTGGTTATCTAATCATAAGTGATGTTCAGAACATAAATAACATTATATATAAATATAATATAAATGCTGCATTCTTAGACGGTTAGTCAGCATTCCAGCCCCGCTCTGGGATTGCAATCTGCGATCTCACTGACGCCTGACCACCATCAGCCTGGTGCTGTGAAGAATGCCCCTGCTGCCGGCTGCCCTGGAGAACCAGGCTGTGTGCACTGCACACGGGCATCTGGCTGGCTGTCACAGACAACACGGTTTCCATCCTCCAGGCCAGCTATGTGACACTGCTAAACTACGCAGCATTTGACCAAGCTTTGTTCAAGTACAGAGTTTTAGGAATAAACTTCAGCCACTCTGCAAATATTTTCTGGGCCAAGCACTGTACTAGGTCTCGGGGATACAAATGGTGAGTGGACGCAGACATGGGCTCAACTCTTTGCAGACTGCAGTCTAGCAAAGGAAATGGTCCTGAACCAAGTGGGTCTGACAGGTGCACCAGAACACTAAAGCTGGTGAGCATGTGATGAGGTGGTTTGTCCTCCCATGGAGGCCGGGGAGGCCTAAGTGAGGTGAGGCTGAGCTTAGCTAAGAGGAGACACCTAGATGAAGAAGAGGGAGGAGGGCCCCAAGGCCATGTGCAAAGACCCTGTGGTGAGGGGGAACGTGGCACCTCCTGAGTGTGCCCAGCTGCCTGGCACGTGGGCCGTGGGGGTGGAGCGTGAGGTGAGGCCAGGGATGCAGGACTCCAGGCCTGGTTTGCAACGGCATCTTTTCCTAAGAGGGTGATGAGGCCAGCTGTGCTTCTGGGAAACATCTCCTAAATTGTTGAACACCAAACCCCCTGTCAATCCATGGCTGTGGGGCCGTGCGGGCCGGCAGGGCGCGTTAACTTCCTGCGTCTGGGTCAGGCGGCGGGTGGAGCCAGCAGCGCAGTTAATCCGCTCCTGTTATCCTGCGGGCTTCCAGGGCAGGAAGACGCGGAACACTGTCCCAGTGCTCCCGGTCCCAAAGCTCGGGCCGCAGGCCATCGGCTGGGAGAGCCCCACGGGCGCGCGGCCTCCCGCCGCACGCAGGCGCGCCCCCCACTCACACGAAAGCTACGATCCCCGTGCTGGCCACGGCGTAGGACAGGCCCAGGATGCCGCTGCCCATGATGGCGTTGCTCAGGTTGAACGAAGACATCCCGAAGGAGGTGGTTCCAGGCTGCTCGGAGAGAACGGGGCGCCTGGTGAGCAGGGATCTGCGGCTATTCTCACTCCCCCTTTATCTTTACTGGAGGAGATCATGGCCCAAGACCGGAGACTAAGATCAAATCAGCCAATCAAAGCCGTTGCTCAGCGTCCACAAAAGCACGTAATTTCCAACGGACAGTAGGGCTCGGCTTTGGCAGGGGTCTCAGCAAAGATAAAAAATACAGGTGAGTGACATGCAAAGGAGAGCGGGGATGGCTGCAGATTACATTCGGGTTAGAATGATTTCTCCAAAAATCAGATTTCATAAATGATTTATGCAGCCATATGGCGAACAGGAAAAACAAGTCCTTATTCCAGTAAGTGCTGAATAAACAGAGAATGTGCTGATCGAAGCTTGGAAAATTTCAGTCACATTGTTTTCCCACAGAGATCGAGGTGGGTCAGACGCCCTCCGGCCCTGTTCACTGCCTCAAAGCAGAGGTTCACTTACGTGTTCATCCCCGTAATCTGCCAGCTGCTTTTTCCCCAGAAATCCATTTGTCAGGAATTTCTGACTTTCAGCATCTTCATGAGCAAACTGACTGCACACAGAAAGGAAATAAGAAAATAAAAACATTTAAGTAAATGCTCTGAATTTTGTTTGTTTCAGGTGATTGATCTAAGTAACTGAATCGGGGAGAGAAAACAGGACCCTTGAAACTGTTTTCCTTCTCTTCATTGGAACTAGTGTCCCTCCCACCCCAGCCGCTGGGCTCCGCGTGGACACGCGTGAGGGGGGAGAGGGGCCGGAAGGAAGTATTTTTTGGTTGCGGCCTTTTTTAAGCCACGTTTCTTTTCCTCACATTAGCCCTAATAATTCTCTTTCCTGCATGATTAATGTTGGCCTTATCTGGGACACTTGTAAAGAAAGGGCCCAGAGCAGTGACCGAGCCTCCCCACCCCCACCGCACCATGTCAGGTGGTGAATCCGGCGAATGCCTACCGAGTGCACAGGCACAGACCCTCGTCCCATCGGAGGGACGTCCGCGGCCCTGCTCTGCGGGGGCAGATACGGCTCAGGAGGGGGAAGCCCCAGGCCTCCGTCGGGCCTTGCAGCATTTTCCTCTTTTTGTGGCCCCACGTGTTTGTTCACATGTCCTTTGCTGGGAAGTAGTTCGATGGTGGCTCTGTGTTGTGTTGGGTGGCTTCATGTGTGAGGGTGGATTTTAATTACTCTGAAAATGTACCTGGGTTATTAGACAATGGATGAAACTGAAAAATACTGAAGAAACCCAGGGAATGCGTAGGAGAGCTGGGAGGGAAGCAGGGCCTTAAAACGTCTCTCTCCCTGCACACCGTGGGCGCGGGCTGGGAGCCGCACAAGCCCGGCCCCTGCTGCCGGCTCTGCGCTCACGCTGGGGCTCCGAGGAGGCAGCTGCGTACCGGCCGCACTTCCCGGATGCTTGGCTAAGGAGCCCAGCTGGCGCCACGGAGGTGACACTGGCAAAGTAGCCTGCAGGCTTTCTCATGAATAGGCAACTGCGATGGCTTCTCAGAAGTGCCTTATAATTAGGAAGGTGGCAGTTCCTAGGGCAGTTCTTGAATGAGAGAGTAGATAAAATAATTGGAGTGTTTTGTTAAAATATCCCTTAGAAATAGTAGAAAATAATTATAGGAAATCCATACAAACCTTTATAACAGAAGCTATTTCCAAAAACATCTTGCGAGAAAGGGGTAACAAGGTTACTTTTTGAGGACTGAGGACATAAAGTGTAGACAGAACCAGCAGACAGGAATCACAAAGGTTTGTGTGCACTTTTAGAACCCAAAGGGTGGGTTTTGTAGCACCTCACAGTGCTCCCTGGCACTCTCCTGTTTCTCCGAGGAGCGTAGTGCCCTAGGATGCTGCCTACCTCCATCCCTGCACCCTCTTCCTGTCCCTTTTTGTCCCTAATAGTCTCCAGTTAGTATATGTGCCAGGCGGAGGCTGGTACACAAAGTTCATAGATGGAAACTGAGACTGTAAGATAACATACAGCCCAAAATGAGCCTAAGGATCATAAAAACAAGTGTCACCTGTACTTAAACTTTGGAATATCCAGTATCCAATTTTTACCTTGATCAATACTCTAGAATCCTTTAGTCCATAAAGAGTTTTTAAAATTTAAAATGTACAAATGCCTCAGAAAAGAATATTCATGCTATTTGGCATGAGGTGAGGTGTAGTCATAAAACATACTAAGATGGTATAAAATATGAGAAATGTTCCCAGTGTCTTAAATGCCTTGATACCAAAGCCAACAGGCATTAAAGACATAACATGATGATTCCAAATAAATGCATTGATGTTGGATTTGTGCCCAATCCAAACGAGACATAAACAAAATCCATCCTCTCATGAGCTTGAAAGCGACGGCCTGTGTTTCCCAGGAACCCAAGGCCCGGCTGTGGCGAGCAGGGTGCCGGCCGAGGGCAGAGGGGAGCCCCGTGAGCACTCTGCTCTCCCCCTGTGGCCTTCAGACCAAATCGGAGACTGTGCAGCACTGTCCTTGGGGCGCTGTCCCCGTCAGCACGGCCACCTCTGCAGAGTCGCGTCTGCACCCATCCTCAGGGGCAGGGGTCCTTGGAGGCGGTCTAGTTACAGTGGGCAGCGGGGTGGAGGAGAGGGCACCACAGGTCACTGTCACCTATCTTGCATTTAATCCTCAGAAAAGTAGGTGTTGGTGCATCATTCTGCAGTTTCCACCAAAGCTCAGAGGAGAGAAGTATGTTCTCCAAGTCTGGCAACGACTCAGCCGATTCCAAACCCTGTATTCTGCCGCGTTGTGCCTCAGGATCTCCCAAACCAGGAAACACCGCAGTGTGTGTCACCACGGCCCTCCAGCCCGGCAGCGCTGACGCGGCTGCCCCGGCTCCTTGCAGGAAGGATGGTGCCGCCTCCTGGCGCCCTTCAGGATGCTGTGAATGGAATGGGTGTCCTTGTTCTAGGGTGATGGTCTCTACTTCAGGCATAGACTTGGTACAAAGTTCCCTCTGAGTGTCGTAAGTCATGTCCCATTGTGTCATAATATCCTGTGGGAAATGAATCTACTTATCAGGTAGTTGTGTACCTATGTACCCAGCAGTGTGACACGAGCCCACAGAAGTGGCATTATGAACCTCCGGATCGGGAGGGGTGGCCACTTCTACCCGCTGGAAGGCTTCCTGGGAGGTCTGACGTGGAGCTCGTCTTGAAGGCTGAGTGGTATCAATAGAAAGGGACGGAGGGCGGGTCCCCCTTGGGGCACCCCAGGCAGACAGAGCAGCAGGGTGAAGGAGCAGGAAGCTGAGTGGCCCAAAGGCAGGAGGAGAGATTCTAAATGGGAGCAGAGCGAGAGACGGATAGAAGAGCCGGTTTGGGGAAGACCACAAAGGGCCGTGCGTGCCAAGCAATGTGCCATCAGTTCGTATCTTACACCTAATGCTGAGCTACTGAAGGGCTCTACCCAGGGTGGAACCGGAGTCAGTCTGCACTTCAAAGGACGGCTTTTGCAGGGATGTGGAGGGCTAGCTGAGGAGAGCGAGATGTGACACAGGGAGACCATCAGGCCATTTTAACAGATAGGTGACGGGCGGTGCGGGCCTGAAGCTGGAACAGGGCAGATACAAAGACATTGAAACGTGAGGCAGCACCAACTGGATATAGTCAAACACTGGATGTGTGGTTTAGGTGAGGCATGAGCAAAAATGGACAGCTTTTGATTGAGGTGCTGACTTTCACCGCGACGGGACTCAGTGGAGGAAGAGAAGGTTTTGAAGGGGATTACAGGAGTTCAGCGGCGGACGTGACAAGTTTGACTTTATAAACGAGGCAGTTCAGATACATGAGCCATCCAGTACAGCTGGAGATAATCTGAAATTCAGCTGGGAAACCCAACAGGCTGAAGATACAGGATACATCCAGGGCACGAAGCCATGACAGTTGTGAATAAGCTTGCACACAGTGCACTTTAAATGGGAAAACAATCCCCACAGAACACTGGAGGTGCAGCAACATTTAAAGGGCAGTCAAAGGACATGGAACCTGAGAGAGAATAGTCCAGGAAGCCGGAGAAGTAATAGGCTAATACATTAATATCATTCTACCTTACAAATGGGATAAGAACATGTAACCTCAATTCTCAGTCAGTCACACAAAGGACTGGCATATCATATATAATGTGTATTTTAGAATCAGGGAGTTAATGTTATCATCAATGACACTATTATATTTCAAGTAGGTAATAAATCCAAATCTTCCTGACAAAATCCTTGCTTTCCACATCCATAAACCTGTTATTTTTCATGGAACCTGGTCATTTTTAACCCCATACCTGCTTATTGCTGATTTTTCTAAATTTCCCATCCCAGTGTAGCTATCTTGGACACTTTCTCCACTGGTGCTCTCCTCATCAGGTTCAATGTTGACATTTTGCAGTTCCATGGGATCCATTTGAGCTGTCAGCGCTGCTTGTCCACACAGGAGCTCCTTCAGTACAAACAATATACCTTCAGCTTAAGGCGCTTCCACTTTGTGTTGATTTTCGGAACACTCTGTTCTGCAAATACAAAATAAATAAAAACTCCTGAGAACTTCATAAACATGCATCTGGAAAGTTTCCTTTATCCAATACAAAGACGAAAGACGGAAGAGAAGAAAGGAAATTGTTAATACATTGCCCAATCAGGTATTTGCAGAGTGCCTATGTATATGAATAAGGCAGGTGCTTTGCCCCTCCCTGTGGGAACAAAAACATACATCAAGACATGGTAGCATTCTTCAAGAAGCTTTAGGTGCTGCTGGTAAGTGGAGGTACAGACTGAATAATTTCAAAGAAAGCAAGACAAAAGTAAATTGTTGACAAAGATTGTGCCTTAGCAGAAATTCCTATCAGTGCCTCTGACAGATTACTCTCACCAGTAACATAAGAAAATTACGGCTTTACTTTGCTAGTTGGGCATGAAAGGATTAACACCACCAAATGCCTGATAACAGTGCAGCACAGGGTAGGATGAGCCACTTTCCAGGCACTTGTGTCTTGAAGCCGAAGTTAATAATAGTAACAAAATGAAGTTCAGGTTTATTTTTGAATCAGCATTAGTCACCATCTATATAAAACTAAAATGCATTTAACAACAAAGACATATAGCTTTTAGACTCTGCTCTGCCTTTAAATTTTTGGATCTCGCAAGTTATTTAACCTTTTTGGACCTCTTTTTCCTCAACTGGAAAGTATAAAGGGATGGACTGGCATGTGAAAAAAAAGAATTCAATCCATCACATGTTGTTGATACAATTTCTTAAACTTTTACTATTAGAATCATTCAATTCTTGTTGAACCATTATATTGGGAGAAATATATACTGGGGGAAACATCACCTTGGATGGTGTACTACCCATTTAGTAAGGTGATCCTGAGCACAGAAAAAACAGCAATCCCTCCAGCACTCCTGACGTCCATAGCTCCTCTGGGCAAATAGGAAGCTAGCCCATGGGAACCCACTGTCCAGTGCTACAGCAGCAGCCGTGGAAGGCAGCTCCTGCTGAGATGAGTTCACAATCCCTAAATTAGAAAGATCACAAAACACATGTGGAAACTCAATGGACAAGTGTCAGGAGGCCTGGGAAGTTAAGATTTACAGGCAAGTACCTACAGATAGCAAAGCAATTCAAAGGGACTTTAAAATCATAAAATGTAATAAAAAGTTCCAAATTAGGATAACAACCAAAGAATAAGAATACTATAAAAGAAGATTAGGCTGGTTTAGAAGAAGGCAAACAAGAAAGAGAAACAGTCACTGAAACAAAACAGCTGAAGGGAGAGTAATAAAACTGGAAAATACATCTGTGGAAATCACTCAAATTATATCTCAAGAGATGAGGAACAAGAAATTAATATATTAGTATAAGTAGTATAAGTGTATAACATCAAAGAGAAAGAAAAATCTCAGAAGCTACCACATAGAAGTTAGATATGCACATGGTTAAAGAAAAAGATAGAAACTTGTATTAGAGTACAAAGTTTTCTCTGAGCCATCACACATACTTCTCAGGAGCAGCCATTAATGACAGTTTCTGTTTCTGGCTCTTCATTTAAAGTTAGTCATCCTAAATTTAAAATATTCACTATAACCTCTCTGACTTAGTTTATCAACTCTAGACTGGTTCCTATGAAAGAGAAAGCAACTAGCACACTCCTTTCTTTCCTTCCCACATACTCCTAGTTGTTTCAGTTAATGAAATACTTTTATAATGTTGAGATTCCTACCATGAGAGATTTGCTTTATAGGTGGTTTGTAAACACTAAAACCCAATAATTAACATTTACAACATTATGATTGTGTAAATAGTATGCCCCCAAAGAACCAACTAGTATATTTAACTACATAATAAATGAATATAATCTTATGTTACTAAAACTTGAAAGTGAATTTTCCATACTCTCTTACTTTGGGGTTTCCTGCTCCAACCTCTGGGTCCCACTCAGCTGCCAATATTTCTTGAATGCCATCCCATCTTCTTTCTTCAATTCACTTTGCATTGGCACTGAAATACCACCTTGAATAATTTTTTTCATACTATTTTTTTTCTATGCCAAAAAGCTTGTGTAATAATAATAATAATAACAATAATAATATAATACAGAAAAGGATCACTTGGGGAGTGAGGGTGTCCTGGCCCTGTCACAGCTCAGTCGTGGCTCAGGTGGCTGCTTAAGGCTGCAAAGTGGGTCTGAGATGAACCTGCAGAACAATCCCACCCGAGCTGCCACTGCTGGGGCCGAAGGCATGCTCCCAGGGAGCAGGGTCTGCCCCTGGCAGTAAGGCATGGGCTGTGGGCCTCGGGGGTCCTGGAGGTCATCCAGGAGCATTGGGGAGTCCATCTGGATCTCACGCTGCAGGGACTCAATGTCAGCTGGGTTCATGCCGTGGCCCTCAAGCCAGTCAGTGAGCAAGGAGGCTGAGTGTGAGGCCGAGTCTACCTGGCCATCCCGTGGCCTGTCAGCCACACCCATGTCAAAAGACATGGTTCACTCATGCTTGTAAATCAAGAATTTATTAGTTGTTTCATTTTGGAAAATGTCTTTGCCCTCAAATGGTGTTTGAATTCTAGATTTAAAATAATTTTCCTTAATAACGTTGAAGACATTTCTCCTAACTTCTAGCTTTTACTGAGCAGTCTGATTCTTATTTCTTTGATATTTTCCTTCTGAAGAATTTTAGAATTTTTGCCCTTATCATTACCTGAAATTTCTCCATTTTGCAACTAGATTTGAACAGTTTTAAAAATTCATCTTCATTTAAAAGACTTGTATCTTTCTTATTAGAAAAATGTTCTATTATTTTACAACTGTTTCCTCCCCTATATTTAATCCTTCTAAAACTTTTATTAATCAGACATTGTATCTCTTGATCTGTATTGCTAAATTTTTCCCCTTATTTTCTATTTCTTTGTTTTATTTCTCAAAATTAGGAACAGTTTCTCAATGTCAAGCCCCAAATAACAGGTTTAATCTTCAGTTGTGTGATGCTCTGACATATAGTAAGACATATATTTGGTATTTATTCCCAGTTCCTCACAGAGCTCTTAGGATAATATAATAAATTAATATTTGTTTTTTGTCCTCATTTCCTGAAATAGCTCTGGGATGGTAAAGATGAAAGAAATGTCTTTTGTTATTCATAACAAGCCCCTTTCAACCACACTTGAATTTACTTTAATGAGGTGAATTTTGGAAAACCCTAAAGATGGGCAACTTGTTACCAGGGGAATAAACCATTAAAATAGAGGGTTGGAACTTTCAGCCCTATTATCAATCCCCTGGAAGAGGAGGATGGAGGTTGAGTTAATCACTAATAGCCAATGACTTAATCGATCATACCCAAGTAATGAAGCCTCCATAAAAAACTGATATATAAGACACTTTTTCTATTCTCTTTTGAAGATGATAGGATAAATCCCATGAAATACGAAACAGTAGTTTAAAACACTGGCCCCTGATCCTAACTGTGGCCCCAGACAAGGGACATCTCTCACAAAAGTTGGAATACACTTTCATAACTTCAATCTTTAGCTCTGAATATTCTATTACTGATCTATTTTTTTAGGGAATAACAGCTAAAAGCACAATTTAGAAAGAATTAGGATACTATGAGAAACTAGATATTCTGAATCATTTGCCTACCACACCAAATCTATACTATGAAGCATTTAGGCTATATCATAATTGCTAAAATTTAATCACATGATTGTATTTCAGTGTACAAGTTTTTTACAGATGGTATTTATGCATTCAACAAATATTAAGAATGAAATATGAGCACAGCTCTGAAAGGGAAGCCTTGAGTTAGAATGCCTGCACATGTTGGACGACACTATGTAGTAGAGAAAAGAGATTTTTGAGCAAACTATTGCATCATAACATACTTCACATTTTTATGTTTTTCTGTGCATACTTATTGAACTAATCAATGGATCACTGCATGGGGAGGCTAGAAAAGAATGATGCTGGCAAACACTGATTGAAAAGTGTAATGTAATATGATAAGACACATGACATAAGTGCATACTGTAATTTTCCACAGGTGTAGAGTCTTCTCCCTTTCTCAGCAAAGGCACCTCCGTTTGGCCAGCTGCTCAGGAGAGGACTCTGGCCACCAGTATTGACGCCTCCCATCCTTTACCCCAAGCCCCCATACTCGCATCCAATCTATCACCAAGTCTCATCAATCCTTCTTTTAACACTTTAAAAATCCTCTCTCCCTGACCACTGTTATTTCAAAAGACCAACTACAGAGGCCGCACAATGATTTCGTCATCATTTTTTAAGGACAAAGTGAAATTTCCCAGTAGGCTATAAAGTGCTGTCTCCTTTCACCCAGACGTAGCTCGTTAGTCCAAGATGGAATCACCCCCACTCACTGTACACTGGGCATCCTTCACTTCCTTGTTGCCACCTCAGGACCTTTTAACATGCTGTTCCCTCTACCTGGAATGTTCCTCCCCACATTCTTAGCCCAAGTGCCTGCAAAGTTAACTAAAAGAACCTGAAAAAAAGCCTTAAATGCCATGTGGTCCGAGAAGCCCTGCATCTAAACTACACCCCCCAATACACGCTCTCGAGGCATGTTCTCTGCTCCTTCTCTGTACTTACTACACTTTGCACTGACATTTCAGTTTAGTGATTATTGGTAAGTAACCATCTCCCCCACTAGGCAGAAGCTTTATGAAGGTGGCAGCAGTGTGGAGTTGTGGGCTCTACATATTCCCAGCATCTGGCACAAGGCCAGGTGCACATTCTACTAAAACTGAGGCAACTTAATATGGTCCCCTTTATACATCCAAGTATGCATTCTCGTTAAACCTTTATAGGTTGGTATTTCAAAGTGAAATGGGAATATTTCCCTCTGGTTACCAGGAGAAAGAGCAGCTTTATTGTGCAAATAATATTCAAAGTTATTCAAAAAGAAAAATCAAATGTGGTTTGATAGGACTTTTTGCAGCCTTTCTATCCAGTGCCACTGAGCTGCTCTGATGCAAAGTGATCTCGCAGACACACTGGATACTGTACTGCAGAGTTCATTTGCACTATTGCTTAAACTCACTCAACATGCAAAATCAAAGCATGAGACAAACATATTTGGAATGCTATCACTCTCAGAAGACTTTGTTTCAACAAATGAATGTTTGGATATCTAAATGTCCTAAAGGCTGATTCCATACATCTAAATTCCAGATATTAAACATTATGTCTTGGGCATCTTACTACACTGATAGACAGTGACTGCAATGGGGTGGGGGGGGACCTTGTTAATAAGGGTGAATGTAATAACCACATTGTTTTTCTTGTGAAACCTTCATAAGAGTGTATATCAATGATACCTTAATTAAAAAAAACATTATGTCTTGTTCTTTGAACAGGCATCTAAGAAAGTCAGGATGCAAGATTCTTAAAAAAGAAAAGTTCCTGTATTTTACTTAAGTAGTTCCACTTCAAAGAAAGACACCAAACTAGAAAGCACAACTGTCCTTGAGTCAAGAGGCAAAAGTTTTGACCTTCCCTAGTTACTGCAAACATTTATTTTACCTGATAAGGGAAAGTGAAAAGGGAGCTAACATCGTCAAAACATTTTCCACCATTGCTGTCATCTTCATGCCAACCCAGTTCTGATGAATCTACTCTGAAATCCAAGTTTGTGAAGCAGGAAACCTCACACGCCATTTACTCTGTTTGAGCAAGTGGGGAGTAGCTGGTGGTGCAACTTATTGCATCCAAGGAACTGATTTAAGTCCACATCCAAAGTGTACCTTAGATGAATTATCATAGTTTTGACAATGAAACTAGTCTAATATTACCTTTATATTAAATTCTTTTTAACAGTTTTCCCAACAATACCATTCTAGTCAGAAACTGTCAGATAGCTTGTTAGTCTGTGGCATGATTTCTCAAATTCGCTTCCATAAAAATATTCAGTATCATTCAGTCTGAGGTACATCTTAGAAAAGAAACTGCCAGTAACATTAAAACCATATCTACCTGCCTACTTCTTATTGCTGGTGCTAATATATCAGCCCTTCTATTCCTTTCCTTTACTCAGACATAGCTTAGAGACGATATCCAGGTAGAACTAGGAAAGTGAGAGTAAATAACCCAATGCTGAGGACTTTTCCCTTTGTAAAGGATTTTACATGCTTGCTAATGTAAGAATTAAAGCAGCCATTTGATGAGGTATAAGGACTATTCAAAAAATCTGAATGTTATTTTGCTTACAACCTTTCTAGCTCTGTTCTCAGAAGAGCAAAAGAGATTCTCCAGTCATCTTAAACATTATGAAACATCCTAAATTCCTGCATAAGTTTTACTTTCTATTTGCCTGAACGCAGTTTCTAGAAATGTACAAGGACACATAACATATGATGTCAACACAGTAAACTCTTTATGCTAACATGTTGATGTATGATATTTAATAACCTGTCCGTAATTGTGAATGCAGTAAATTCCAGAATGTCCTTATTCTATATAATAGATACTGGACCACCTTCAGAGGTACTTTTATCTTCTGGATATAAATACTTCACTTTCTTTAAAGTAACTCATATATTAAAAGTAAGAGCTTTGATAACTCTTAAAGTATACTGTATATCATGGGCAAAGAAAACTCAAATTTAGCTCTCAAAACTACATTTCCAATACCTAAATATTATTGACATCTTTGGAGATTAAGTATGCAGACTTCCAAGAAAATCCTAAAACATTATCTAATTATAAATTTGAATGGCTGGAGGATCTTGGTTTGTAAAATAAGTGGCAGTCTCTTTGAGAAAACACACCTAAATTTCTTTAGTATGTCAAAAATAACTTCTTTTAGCCAACTGTCTGTGAATATGATATACATTATCAGTTCAAATATTTTTTCACTGAATTACAAAACACTCTTAGTTTTGTTACCTGGGAAATTAATTTAAAATATTATTGTAGGCTCTGTAAGATGCTCCAAAAATGAGATATGTAAATCCACCTGGAATTCTGATTCATAAATTTGAGGAGTATAGCTCTATTTTTAGATAATTGATTCCAGTCCTTCAGAATCTATGGCTATGCTTATATTCTATTAAATATCTCAATTTCTTCCAGTAAATTTGTTCTAACAATACTTCTTCATTAAAATGGTCATATAAGAAGACAAAGGTAAGACACAGCTTTTTCTTTTTCATTTGACAATGTGCAGCCCAAACCCTTAGCCATTCACATCTGTTCTGACTCTGTGATGCTCCTCCTCCGATTGGTTTTGCTTTCAAGACAGCATCTTTAATGTTACAGCATTGGGAATACACTTCTACAACTGTATATTTTTTCCTGAGACAAACTATGTCAATTCTTCATTCTATTCAGTGATGAACTGGGAAATGTAAACAACTAAACACTGCTGCCTGCTGGTTTTTGCAATGCTCCCCTTTCCTATTATGCACTTTCCTAATTTCATGCTCAAACCTAAAATCATCTGCAGAAGAAAACTGTAATCAGGATCTGGGTAAATACTTCCAGTGGCTGATATTATACTGAATTTATCTTTTCTAAAGTGAGAAAAAATTTCCCCAGATAGTAGTTTCAAAAAAGAAGCATTATTTTAACACTGCAAATATTCATGTTATTTTATAAGGTAAAAGACAGCTTTACCTTAATCATTCATCCAGTCCCAGGTAATTTTTCTGGAATTGTTTAGAATGGCAGACCCCTGTAACAGAGTTGACATAAGAACCTTTGGGTATCTAGACAATGATTTAAAGACTAGTGGGCGTGAATGAGACAAGCCAATCACCACCACCACCCCACCCCAACACCTCCCACCGTCCCTCTGTCCAACTTGCGTCAGCTTTTAAAAAAAAAGAGAAGCTAAATCAGTTTACTGCTGAACATTTGGATTAAACATTGGTTACACCAGTTTCTATTTGCTTTTAGAATTTTGGCTTTTATGCAACAAATTACTCAATGAAAGTTTTACCTTGATTGGTATCATTCTGTATCAAGTTGCTACAGGTTGGTGGACTGATAAATTCAGAAATGTTAATTTTTTAGAAAGGTTTATGAAATTAAGGCAAAGTAAAATATAGTAACAATAATAATTATGGGGTCAGGTTTTTTATGAAATATCATCAGGATGCATAGAAAATATATAGCAGAAAAGTTTTCTTTTGGATTGTTGACTTATTCAGAGGACATTTTACAGGATAATAGACACTTCACATGGTGCCAGGTTACTCCAGGCACTGTGCAGCTGAAAATCATAGATTTATCAGCCACTGTTCCCATTCCAAAGGTGATAGGCTGAGCAAGCAATACTCTGGAGTTTTTAAAGAATTTCTAAGTGGACATTTCCCTCCTTTCAAAAAAATCTACTGGCTTTCCAAATATTAGAGGAAAAGCTGAAATGTGTTGGCAAATGATCTGTCATGAAAATGTATCACTTAATCCTTCTGAAAGTGAGATAACATTAAAAAATCAATCCAGAATTAAGGATACTTTGCCTTTTAAATATTTATGACTTGAATGGCAATCTGATAACCAATCAGAAGAAATGCTAGATTGTAACAGTTGTGTCAGTTCCCGGTTTCTATTAAAAAAAAAAAAAGATCTAAACATTGTTGAGTGGGAAATGCTTAAGCTAATGCAAGACATTGAACGCTACACAAAGTGTCCAGTTACCCATTTTTCTTTTCCTTTTCAAATGTGCCAGTTTGGTCTATTACCTAATATGGTATATTTACTTGTATTTGTCTCATAGTATATTCTTTATTTTTTAAAGTTATGTAGTAGTTTTATTTTTTATCAGATAAAAATTACTAAGGTCTATGGAAAAATTGTAGCAAATACACTCATTTTAATTTCAGGGAAATTTAAAGAATATTCCTTTTCAAGTTACCTCCATAATTTAATTGTGATCTTTGCAACTTCAGATTTCTTTTTGTTTGCAAAATTACCAGATGAGTATAAGATTAAGCAAGCAAAAACCTGTGCCTAATTGTTAGAAAATTAAATACTTGTATTCTAATAAAATTCCATTTAATGGTGGGTCAACTAAAAAGAATGAATGTACTCTCATGATATTTTTATCTAAAATAAGGTGGAGATAAATGCATAAATTCCTAAAGTTTTACCTCTCCTGAAATTTTAAGTTTTGGCTTCTTTATAATTCTGATCTTCTTCAGATATATGCAGTAATTACAGTAAATTAGCATGTTAGAGTAAAAAGCACACATAAGAGACTATGAAGGGTCATATGTTTCTTTTGCATGTATTCTAATTGCAAAATTCTTACCACAGACTTTCCCACCATTTGCTCAAAAATCAAATATACACATGAAAATTAGTTTGATAAAAGTTAGCTGAATTAAAAAAGCTTAGGAACTTGGCCATTTGACTATTTTCTCCCTGCTGTATTTGACGTGTTTAGACATGCCAAAATCGATGAAGAAATGTATGGTCTAGTCTTGACAAAACTCACTATGACTTTTTTTTCACAAGGAAACCAGACTTAAATGTTACAGTTTAATGTTCTAAATATTTCTTAAAATCATCATGATGTAATTTCATGTATATTTGTTAATAGATTTATGCTCTTTTGATTTTTAAAACATGGCAAATGTAACATGTTCAGTGAGGCTCTGATGTGGTACAAGAATCCCTGTAGAGGGAGGTAACGGACAGAATATATATAGACTTTAAAACATGCATTAAATGAAAAATGTGGGTAATGAAGAATGTCAGTATAACTGCGCAGTATGTCCCAGGACTCCAGAGGGTGAAGAGCCCCAGAGGAAGGCTCCAGGGCACCCATGGACCTTGACAAGGGCCTGAAAAGTCCAGATGAGATTCCAGTAAACAGAGGGCAAAGAGAGAAGCAACCTGGGCAAGACTGTGGCCCCGCTGCGGCGCCTTCCGCTCTGGTGAGACGCTGTCAGGCAGCAGTGGACACTTTCTGGGCAGACAGAACAGAACGGAGTAGAGTGCAGACTGCAGAGGGTGTCGCCTGTGGGGAACTCGGGTTTTTTTGCCATGGGGATCTTTTCAAAGCTGCTGAGGAAAATAAAAAAAGCAGGGAAGGGACACAGGTGGGATGATGGGGTGGAAATGGAGAGTGGGGACAGGGAGGGGGTGGGGATGCTGGATGGTAGCTGGGCTTTGGTGACGTCTGCCTGTCTGAGCATGAGGACAGAAGAAAAGGCAGATAGAAGGGATTCAAACTGGAGTCAATGGGAGTCTGACTTGTACTATTTCTATTTACTACCTTTGCCAGTTCACGATACACACTATGAATTTTATGTGATCATTCTATGAGAAACAAGAAACTTGCAATAAAAGCTTCATTTTTCTTTAGCAAGAGATATATGGTAATAGCTCATCCACTTATCCCTATCATCAGTCCGTGGCAATGATTTTCAAATAGTACAGGTAAGGTCCTAGAAGGTACATCCCCATATTTATGTATTGAAAGTACAAAATTGGTGGTTCAATACAAAGTGATAAAGATCGTATCTAGGCATTGAATGGGAGTTTTTCTTGTCCATATTTATAATTACTGATCATTTTGTTTAAAATTTCTACCTTTAGTGGTGTTTTCAAAGAGAAAGTTCCAGCTGGATCAAGTTGAAATTGGTCAACAATTAAAAAAAAAATCCTCAGCCAGATCATCATGGCATTTTGCAATGGTACTGGGGAAGATAACCTCTTGTTCCCATCATGACTGTACCCAAATTTCTAATTTTAGTCATGGGACAAAAATACTTGGAAATAGAATCTGATTATAACCAAACTGGAAGGAGATGGGTAGAAACAGTGATAGCTAAGAAACAAATTACCTAACTTTTAATGATTTTTGTATTGCCTTTGGATCTGCATTCTATTGCTTTTCTTCATTTCTGCTTCAATTTCCCTTTAGGTCTCCTGCCTTTTTCTTCTGTTTTTTATCTTCTCTACACTGCATTGTTTTGGTGACGCTTTATTCTCCAAGAGTTACTTTTTATGGCTTTCATCTTTAGAGTCTTAAACTCAAACTCTAATAAGGGAGATCAAGTCCCAATGCTCTAATGACTCTCCTCATCCTACAGCCAGTATTGGCGCCTCCAAATACGGACAGCGCTCACATGGATGCGACTGTTTTGTACGGTGTTGCAGGTAAATGTCTACCTGATGGACCACGTCAGTCCTAAAAACGGAAGATACTAGGCAACTGCAATTAGAAACAAGATTTTAATTACTTTTTTTAACGTAGAGTTTACTCTCTGGCTTTTGGTTTTCAGGCTTACAGTGTTGAAGAGAATTTGTGATCTTTTTCAATGTCATGCTTTGGCATTCCAAATTCTTCATTTTATCTCTCTTAATATGGATGCATGCAAAATAGAAAAAGACATCCATACAGCAATGTTACAGAAATCATCCTAAATCATCCAGGGAGCAGAATTCCATGTCGTCCTGAAAGTGAGCTGGGCTCACACGCTTGCACTTGTGCCTTCTTTGTATCACGTGTGCTGAAAGCTTAGGTGTGGTGTGGGTAGCTCTCTGCACGGTTATATAATTATTCACCTCAATTTACAAAATAAAAAGATAAAATTGAGTATTACTCAAAAGAGACACATAAATTAATTGTAAACAGAAGTAAAGATGAGAAATTTTCTAATTCCCACTCAGCAGAGCTTCTCTGATGGAAGTTTAGGGCACCACTATTTTTGAGGCTCCAAATATCTTTAAACATTTCTAAAATCCAAAACAGGGTTACTAAATTATAGTATATTTTCAATGTACTATTTAACCAAATAACACTTTAACTAACATTACATACAATACAAATGGCAATAAATGTGAGGCCCTCTCAAATATGAGGCCCCAGTGGGCTTCTCAGCACAGGCCCTAGAAGAGGCCTTGCTTTTCTGCTGTAAAAATCTCCCTGACCAAGAAAAATGCAGTAACCATTGCTCAGCTGTTGGCACCTCCTCTCTTCAACCCGCCTTAACCACCTTTACAACTATATAAGGGAGCACTTGGGAAATGTTTGAATAGTCAACTACTATGTTGCAAAATTAGCAAACAAGTTTGGTGCAGGTTGACAAACTTACTGATTTTTGCCACAAACTTAAATCAAAATTCTTTTCAACATTAGCTGACCAAAAAACTAGGTAGAAAACAGTTCATTTTGTCAATTATATTTTGTTCCCTGCCTTTCACCTTTCAAGCAATTCAAATCTTTGTCAATTTTATTTCTTGATTCCGCATTGAATGATGTGCAAAAAGTTTCCCAAGTCTGGTCTAGGTTTCTGCTTAAGCTAATGTATCCCAGCGAGGGGGAATATGAAGGTCTGTGAGTCTTGTGGACAATTACAACACTGATAATGTACAGAAATTCTAAGTGATACTTAGAGCTTCTGAGCGTTTGCTTTAAGGAATGATTCCTACCCTTTAAAATGTGCTAAGATATGTATATAACAATTATAACAGTGATCTGTTATAACTAAGATAATTATGACAATACTTCCTAAACAACTGAATCACCTTATTAATTTACATTCTTTGTACAGAATTAATACAGTGCTAGGTTGAGTCATCTGCCTTTCTAATTAATAGCAATTGATGGTTTAAAAAAATTACAGTCTTTTGGGGCCACGGTACATTAATTTCAGTTGCTCTCTCTCAGATTCCCACCCATCCCTCTCCTTTAAAAGCAAATTCCCTACCAGGACAGTT